TTTTCTTTACGCTGGTGCTCACTGAACCCTCGGATGCATTTTGTTTTTATCCCCACTGTGCATACAAGGAATCTGCAGCTCATACAGGTAAATTGTTCAAAGACACACAGACAGTAGCTGGCAGTGCTGCTCTGATTCTAAAACCCTGAATCCTATTTGTTCTTGATGTTTGTTTAAGTTCCCTTACAGCCTCTTCTGAGTAATCCTATTAGGATTATAGCAGACATCCCACCATTGGCACCAGACAGTAGAGATGGCCCTGGTGACCAGCTTTCACAATAGCAGTCTGGGAACAGAGACCTATCAGGCAGTGAGAGTGACATTTCATAAAAGAGTAGCAACTGCTTTAACTTTGAGATTAGATATCACAGAGAGCTGGAGGGAATTGCATCTGGGGAAAAAAAAGAACCCTTATCTCAAGGCATAACACCTATATTACTCACCGTGCTTCTGAAAGAAGACAGAGTATATGTAAATAGCAAGTCGTTGTCCTTAAAAAATTACAGATCAAATGATACCTGGATAAAATGGTTTGAAAAGTCCAGATGCTGGCATGTATTTTGCTTATCTTATAACACAGGAATTCATTCTTTCCATCGGTAATTCAATACAGCTTAATATTGGGGTATGGAGGAGACACTGCTCATGGTTTTCTCTGGCTATGCAGAGAATATAATAGCGAAAGGTGAAGAATTTTTAATAAGACAATCCATCTATTTTCCTAGCCCACACAGAGAGCAGATACAATCTGCAAATGATAAATCATGTCCAAAAAATGAACATCATTTCATTCATTATGAATGAAAATAAGATGTGATTTATAATGCAGTGCCCTGTGTCTACAGACAGGTCTCCAAAGATTAATCATCTCAAATAAAAAAATATTCAGAAGCAGTTGCCTAACAAATTAAAAAAAACAAATCTATGTATTTTCTTATCAATTCCAAATAGCTTCAGCCTATTGCAAATATCTAATAAACTTCAAGCACAAGTGTTTGGCAGTGTTTTATGTGGAAGATGAATTGCTATTGAAAGTAAATTATATCCCAGAGGCCTGTGCACCTCTGAGTTTTGGTCAGATCAGACTGTCCATTGTTCAGAACATGTCTGAAATAGTCCCCTAACCAATAAGCATATACCATGACATTTCATAAAATTTAATGACATTCTAAAATTTAAAATTGTCTTTTACTAGGGCCCAAATTTTCTATTTTCACATGTATTTTCTCTAGTTTACATTTTAAAATTGTTAAGTCCTTTCAGAAAAACATCTCAATACTTTATTATTTAAGTAGATTAAATAAATTCAATTTTTAAAAAATATCATTACTTCTTCCTGACTGACCTTGGGCATAAATTCTCTGAGTGTAACTTTCTTATTTATAAATCAAGAATATTAAACTATTTAATACCCATTGTTCTGTTCAGTTCTATAATTCTATGATATAAATGTAGGGTTCCAATATTCAAATAAAAATGAAAGATATTTCTACCAAACTAAATCAAGCTATTTTAAGGGGCTGGAAAGTTGTCAGATTGAGGAACGAGCAAGCTGAGGGGTCTATCAGAGCTGGTTTGGGTGTTAACTTGATTGCTTCATAGATATTTCTTTGTTTAGGCAGATATATGTTTGGGCTCCATGAGGGTATAAATGTTATTTAAAGCCATGGGTCATTTTGGCTCCCAAAGTACATAATCAGATATAGACAAGTTGTGAAGTATATTCATAAATGTATGTGAATTAACATGCCAACCACTTTTTATAGATAAAATCTGCATTGCATAATCAAATTTTGCCTAAGTGGAGATTCATTACAATAGATTATTAAATCCTTGAGGGAATCTGCATCTTTCCAACTTTGTGTGCCTATTGTCTAGCAAAGTTCTTATTTGTTCAATGAACGTTATTAAATGAATGAATGGGGTGAGAAGAGATTAACCAAAGAATTTATATGCATGTATGCATAGCCCTTGGATATAGACAATAGTGCCATGAAGGCCTGGGGAGGGGGCAGGAGCAGGGTGGAGGAGGTCAATAGGGGAAAAAGGGTGGACATCTGTAATACTTTCAAATATAAAGATATATTAGATAAAGATGATAGATAGATAGATAGATAGATAGATAGATAGATAGATAGATAGATAGATAGATAGAAGGATGATAAAAGAACCAGCTTCTTTTCTGCATTTGCCGTGCAGCTAAGAGCCTGCTTACTTTTAGATGAGTATTTTACCAAGTTCCCCTTTTGACTTACCATCTTCATCTACAAACTACCAACCCAGTATTTAGCAAAATGTTCAAATTGAAAGACTTTCTATCATATTGCATCTTAATTGTTCTTCAAATGACAAGTATCAAATCAATCCTCAGATTAATTTATACATAGCTATGTAAGATTTTCTTTGTTACATTGTTACAACCAAGTCAGCAAATTACTCTCCATTTGAGCGAATGACTTGAAAATTTCCTCATGTATAGAATCCAAGGTTAAGAGTACTCATAAAAATGAGTGTGTGTGTGTGTGTGTGTGTGTGTGTGTGTGAATCTGCCTGCAGCATAGATCCTGAATCTGCCAGAGACATTTCCACAGGAAGAAAAAGAAAAAAAAGACCTTTTAGAGGTCAACAGAAAGCTTATATAATATTCTACCTAGTGAGAAAGCTGTGTTTTTGAAAGACCTTTCAGCCTTTCCTTCTACCATTTCAGAAAGGACTCAAGGAAATTCTTTACATTTAGATTTTTTTTAATCCCCAAAGAGAAAGCTCCAATCTAATGACACATTTGGGTCAGAATATACTAAGAAAATGAAACTTCTTTACTATAACTCACACCATAAACCTTTTATATATAAAAAAAGTATTATACTATACAATTTCCCTGCAACTAGCTCAAAAAGTATGAAAGAGAGTAAGTTATAACTGCATATTATTTTAGAGTTGATTGAGCACACTTTTCTAGTGATTGACATTATCCTTAAAAACAGCATACCAAGAAGCATCCTAGTCAATGTTTGTGTGTAAACATACCTTAAATTTTATTAGGTATTGCCAGATTTCTTTTTACCCTGGATTCTTAAGGCCTACAAAATTTTATACATAATTAGACTGCATTCTTGCAATCTGCTCTGAATTATAACCTAGGATATTTCCTCTTGAAATTGATGATAATTCTGTAGATAAGAGTTTAGAATCCCATTTCGTTCTTTATCCAGCTCTATTATTGACTCAGGATGTGTAAGTAACTAGGGCAGATAGTAATGCTATAGCTTTTAATTTTCAGATGGGAGTAAAAGTAATTAAAACTCACTTTAAATTTTATTGTTAACCCAAATACAATATCCTTGAGCCAGACCTACAAGCAATATAGCACTTGTTACTTTCCCTTATTAATTAGGAATCACAATACATAACTCATTTCTACATACCTAGTAATGTAGTCCTCAGAGTACCTGTATATTTTACCTGAAAGATATTCAAAACAGACAAATTAAAATACATTTGTTATATCTTCTAAAGAGGGTTGTGAGGGGAGCTTAGCATCAATGTCAGCTAATGTCTTTAATTAAACCATTTGGCCACCACTGTTTGAAATAGAGATAAAGAGCATGTCTGATTTGGGCCAATCACAGTCCATATTCTCTCTTACTAATTTGGAATCAAAACACGGTGCAGCAGAAAAAAGGAAATGTTAAAATAAAAATTAGAGCAGAATTGAATGAAATTGAATAAAAAGACTACACAAAACATTAATACACAAAGAGCTGGTTCTTTTAAAAGATTAATAAAGTTGACCCCTGGCTAGACTCACTAAGGAAAAAAGAAAATACTCATACAAACAAAATCAGAAGTAAAACAGGAGAAGTTCCCAGAGACATCACAGATATACAAAGAATTATACTGGAATACTATGAAAGACTACATGCCACTAAACTGAATAACCTAGAAAAAATGGATAAGTTGCTAGAAATATATGACCTTCCTAGACTGAATCATGAATAATTGGAAAATCTAAATAGACTGATCAACAGTGAGGAAATTGAAACAGCCATCAAAAACCTCCCAAAAAATAAAAGTCCAGGCCTAGATGGCTTCACTGGTGAATTCTACCAGACATAAGAAAAAGATTTGATACCCATCCTCCTTAAACTCTTTCAGAAATTTGAAGAAGAGGAGCTACTTCCTAACAGATGTTATGAGGCCAACATAACCCTGAAACCAAAACCTGGCAAGAATAACATTAAAAAAAAACCCTACAGATCAATGTCTCTGATGAATACAGATGCAAATCAAATACAACAATACATTAAAAAAAATAATACATCACGCCCGGCCAGGTGTGGCTCAGCAGTTGAGCATTGATCTAGGCTCCAAGAGATTACAGTTCGATTCTCCGTCAGGGCACATGCCCAGGTTTCGGGCTCAGTTCCCAGTTGGGGGCGTGCAGGAGGCAGCCGATCAATGATTCTCTTATCATTGATGTTTCTCTCTCTCTCTCTCTTTCTCTCTCTCTCTCCCCCTTCCTCTCTCTAAAATCAATAAAGATATATTTAAAAATAATAATAACAATACATTACGATCAAGTGAATTCCAGGGCTGCAAAGATGACTCAGCATACACAAATCTATCAATGTAATACACACATTAACAAAAGAAAGGGTAAAAATCATACGATCTTATCAACAGATTCAGAAAAAACATTTGATAAGATACAACATCCATTTATGATGAAAATACTCAATAATATGGGTATAGAAGGAAAGGATCTACACATAATTGAGGCCACATATGACAAACCCTCACCTAAAATCATATTCAATGGTGAAAAACTGAAAGCTTTTCCTTTAAAATCAAGGAAAGGATGCCCACTCTCACCACTCTTATTCAGCATAGTTCTGGAAGTCCTAGCCAGACCAATCAAGCAAAAGAAAGAAATAAAAGGCATCCAAATAGGGAAGGAAGAAGTAAAAATGTCACTTTTTTGCAGATGACATGATTCTATATATGGAAAACCCTAAAGACTCAACCAAAAAACTATTAGAAACTATAAACAAATGCAGTACAGTTGCAGGATACAAAGTCAATGTGCAAAAATCTACTACTTTCCTATTTACTAACAATGAAACTTCAGAAAAAAGACATGAAACAACAATTCGTTTTGCAATTGCAACAAAAAGAATAAAATACCTAGGAATAAGCTTAACAAAGGATGTAAAGGACTTAAATACTGAAAAATACAAAGCATTATTAAAAGAGATTGAAAAAGACAAAATTAAATGTAAAGATATTTCATGTTCATGGATTGGAAAAATCAACATAATTAAAATGGCCAAAGCAATAGTTTTCAGACTTAATGCAATCCTCATCAAAATCCCAATGTCATTTTTTAAAGAAATAGAATAAAAAAATAATCAGATTTGTATGGAGCCACAAAAGACCTCAAAAAGCCAAAGCAATCCTGAGAAAAAAGAACGAAGTCGGAGGTATCACACTACCTGACTTCAAATTAAATTACAGATATATGGTAATCAAAATAGCATGGTACTGGCAGAAAAACAGACACACAGACCAACGGAACAGAATTAAGAGCTCAGAAATAAAAGCACATGTACATGGGCAAATAATTTTTGTCAAAGGAGCCAAAAACACACAATGAAGAAAGAAAAGCTTCTTCAATAAATGGTGCTGGGAAAATTGGAAAGCCACATGCAAAAGAATTATACTAGATTACAGTTTGTCCCCAGGTACAAAAATTAATTCAAAATGGATTAAAGACCTAACTATAAGATCTGAAGTAATAAATTACATAGAGGAAAACATAGGTACTAAACTTACAGACTGTGGTTGTAAAGAACATTTTATGAATCTGACCCCAAAGACAAGAGAAGTAAAGGCAAAAATAAATGAATGGGACTGTATCAAATTAAAAAGCTTCTGCAGAGCAAAAGAAACCAACAACAAAACAAAAAGACTACCAAAAAAATGAGAGATGATATTTGCAAACAACACCTATGAAAAAGGGTTAATATCCAAAATATATAAAGAACTCATACAACTCAACACCAAACAAAAAAATCCAATTAAAAAATCGGCAGAGGACCTGAACAGACACCTCTCCCAAGACATAAAAATGGCCAACAGATATATGAAAAAATGTTCAACTTCACTAGCTATTAAGAAAATGCAAATAAAAACTACAATGAGATACCACCTCACACCTACTAGAATGACTACTACCAACAAGACAGGTAATAGCAAGTATTGGAGAGGTTGTGGAGAAAAGGGGACCATTATTCAGAGATGGTGGGAATGTAAACTGGTACAGCCACTATGGAAAACAGTATGGTGGTTCCTCAAAAAGTTAAAAATAAAGTTACCATATGACCTATCAATTCCTCTTCTGGGTACGTATCCAAAAGCATTTATTCGCAAAGATATATGCACCCCCATGTTCATTGCAACATTATTCACGGTGGCCAAGACATAGAGACAAACAAAGTGTCCTTTGATAGTGGATTGGATAAAGAGATGTGGTACATGTATACTATTGACTGCTACTTACCCATAAGAAAAGGTGAAATACTGTCATTTGTGACAATATTATGCTAAACAAAGTAAATCAGAAAAAACTAAAAGCCATATGATTTCACTCATATGTGGGATATAAAACTGAAACTCAGCCCGGTCAGGCTTGGCTCAGCAGTTGAGCGTCAACCTAGGATCCAGGCGACCAGGGTTCGATTCCCGGGCAGGGCACATGCCCGGGTTGCGGGCTCCATCCCCAGTGGGGGGCGTGCAGGAGGCAGCCGATCAATGACTCTCTCATCATTGATGTTTCTCTCTCTCTCTCCCTCTCCTTTCCTCTCTCTGAAATCAATAAAGATATATTAAAATAAATAAATAAAATAAAACTGAAACTCACAGACACAGGCAACAGCATGGTGGTTATAAGAGGGAAGTTGTTGGGGAGGTAGTAAAGGGTAAAGGGGGACAAATATATGGTGACAGAAGATGATGTGACTTTGGATGGTGGGCACAGAATGCAATATACAGATCATGTATCATAAAAATGTACACTTGGAACCTATATGATCTTATTAACCAAGTCATCCCAATACATTGAATAAAAAATAACAACAATAAAATGGCTTTTAGAAGAAGCAGAGCTCTGACGGAGGATTGTAAAACCAGGAAAAAATTATGTGCCCGTTCTCAGAAAGTAACCCACTGTTGAACCTTGAAGGTGCTGGTTCAAAGGCAAATAAAAGAAATATTTTTATTTAAAATTAAATATGTGTTTTCAAAATTGAAAAAATAGTTTCAAGAATTTCTTTTTCTTTTTTTTAGTGAAAGGCATTAATAATGAATTATTGAGTGACATTAAAGCAAATTCAGAGTACGGTTTTAATAATTAAGATCAATGCAGTGGTATTATGCCCCTATACTGGATGGAGCATCGTCCATACACCAAAAGGTAGTGAGTTTCATTCCTGGTCCTAGGTTGCAGGTTAGATCCCCGTTCTGGGCATGGAGGGTGACCAACCGATGTTTTCTCTCACATTGATGTTTCCTTCCCTCTCTCCCTTTCTCTCTTTCTCTCTCTCTCTCTCTCCCCCTTTCTGAAATCAATAAACACAACCTTGAGTGAGGATTAAAAAAAATATATCAATATAATGAAGAAGTGTGTATTATCTGTTCATCAATAAATTTTTGTTGATGTTGAACTGGGTGAATAAATATGATATGATATTTATTGTATTTTGATTATATATTTAACCTAAAATTAAATAAAAGCCAAAATCCTGCAGAAGTTATTCCTATAAAAATGAAGCCTGGTGTTATCTGAGTCTCTCACAATGACTCAGACACAACAATAACCAAACAGTGATCTTTCAGCTTTAACATATGAAAAGCACTGTGCGTTTCTAAGGAACCAGCACAAACATTTCCAAATCATCGAATGAATCTCCAAACTACAAAGATTATACTTAGGTAGATTTAAGTGCAACAAAGTTAGGTTATTCTCCAGAGAGGTCATTAGCTCTTGGAGAAACATTACCGGGACAACATTAAAATCACTACATTGGGGAATGAAATGGACACGTCACAGGTCAATGTGTGTGGAATGATTCTGTGAAGGACCAAATGTGGAAAGTTTTCGCAAAGCCAAGCAGCTGTGGGACCAAAATGGTGACTGTAGTCCATTGGGATGTATCCAAAATACTCTTTATCGAGCCCCCAGGAAATGCCCTCCCGTGAGCTGCATATAAAAGATGCAGTTGTTTCCAACTACCTTCAGATTAGCCTTGTCAATATGAAAGCACGTAGATCAGGGAGAAGCATCTGCTGTTGCACAAAACCACAGTTAATGGGAGCCCAACACAATCAGAAGGCTTGAGAAACAATGTCAATGAGCATAAGAATAAAAACTAGTTAATAGATCAGAAAAATGTAAACTGGAAAAT